AATTTTTACTAAATGTCCAACAGCTGTGTCAAAATATGTCATGAAATGTCCATGCAACTTTTAACCTGAAGTTGTTTGACAGTGTGAGGCAGGGCTTGGGACATAATATTAAGAGTTGTATGAGGCCTCATGTGAAGATGGAACAATTTCACAAGGCCACACGATGACAGCATTCCACTCCTTGGCACCAGGTCTTATTGTGATCCTCCCAAATCAAGTTCCGCAGGCCAACTCTACCTCCGTCCTTAGCCACAAAGCCCTCCCACCTTCCCTTTGTCTCCTAATAGGCTCCCCTACTTCCAATTAGCTTCAAAAATGTGCTTTGATCATTCCACTACATACCCTGAATGACGAGGGTATAAGGTACAATGTACACGTAGCCTACAGGTTTGCAACTGGAGGAATGGAACAGCAAAAGCTGACAAAGCCCCATTGTAGCATAAGTATGATAAAGTGCTTCCCTTTGCTACATGTACAGTTTATGCAGAAAGGCGTTTATCACTGCTTGCTGTGCACTCATAAATATCCGGTATCTGTTGAGTTTGGAGATAAAAAGGCAGAGTCCTTGGAGTCTGTACAAACACCTGAGACACCAATTGTTGAAATTTAACATAGCTGGGGATATTCTTTGCAGCCTTGCTGGTTTTGTTTAGAGATTGCATGAGTGTGTGAAAGTAATAAGTCCAACTTTTTGTTCCTGTGCACATGTGCATGTTCATGTGTATATTTGGGCAATTCTGCGATAAGGCCAAAAAAACAAAATAGTTCTGCTTCTAGTTACCTGACCTTCCATATTTTTACGGCGCGACCCTTAAGTTTTTATCGGCAAGTTAGAAAAAAAAAAAATTAATCCTGTTGTCCTCTCTGTCTTCACAAAACGCCTTCCAAAAGCTTTTTTACCTCAAAAACTCTTGTACGTATGTATTCATTTGTTTGCCTACTTACATTCGCTATTTTTGAGAAGAAATGACCTCCGTTATTTTTACAAGTTCCCTTCGTGATTACAAGTTCCCTTCGTGATTCGCTATCGTGGTGATGAAAACTCGTGTGTACATGTACATGTAATGCTGAATGCAGCAATGCTGTACTGGTTCCTACCGCGCCACGCACTAAAAGGGCTAAAGAAGGCATGATGGAAATGCGGCAACCATGCATATGGCCGGCCAACATAACGTGAGACAGCAGAGTGCACTGCAGTTGCAGGTTGGATCTGACATCATTTCTGCAAGTTAATTCACAAAACTTGATCTCTCTTGTCTGTGTACATGTATTTTCCGTGTTCATGAATTTATTTTGAGGTTATTTGTGCATTCTGCAAAGTGCATTGTGTTTCCCCGACATTTCCTGCCGCAACACGAGGTTTGTCACCCGCCACACACAGTACATCACGTATGCTTACAGCGCGATATATACAGATAGTATTGGCCAGTTTCCTGTCGTGACTAGCGTTGTGCATAGTAGTGTGCGCGACCTGAATTCTCCATTATTTAAAAGAATGTATCGACTGTAAATATTTTGACATTAACGAAGGCAAGCTTTTATCACTTTTTGTGTCTTTAATAGCTTTCGTAGCACAAATGGATACATACATATACACATTGTGTAGTTCAGGCTGAATTTGCATAATTGAATATCCCATTCAATCAGCAAAAAAATAAATTGGCCCAAAACCCCAACGTTCCGACCTACAGACCCTATTTTTGAAAGGCATATACCGGTAATTGGAAGCAGAACTAATATTTTTGGCCTTACCCCGGTAGTTACGTTACATTTTAAGCGATGTACCGGTAGCACCACCCTTTGGGATCCTTTATCAACATGTGTGTGTGTGTATCAATTCTCCATTTTGTACCATCAATACATCTTACCAGGAATTAAAACACAGTGAGCAAATTCATTTAGACATGTTTTTGAGTTGTAATGGGACTTGTAATCATGGTTACATTAGTTACGTTACAAAAAATGGACAAGGATAAAAAATACATGTCTTTGCATAAACAAAAGTTTTCTCAAATGGGACACAGCTGAAACAAATTACAGTATTTCTGTAATTGCTTACTAAATGACAAATGTTTTGACATACATGTAACATTTCTCAAATTTTTTCCTCAGTTTGAAGAGTTGCCATAAATTCTTGGTTAGTTAAGTTACCAATAGTTACGTCATGTCTGCCCAACTTTGACACAAGTGTACCGGTATGTATATTTTCCATTGTATATAAGAAACTATAAATAATCAGCCAAAAAAAAGCTCTTTTGGCAGATAATATGAACCTTTCTCTTTGACCTATTAACGAAAACCATAATTTTAGCCAAAAAGCAGGTGCTTTTTTTAATCAAAAACATTCCATACTCACCAGCACACCACTCAAAAGAAAGGTCTTGCTGTCCCCTTTAAATTTATACCACATTTGTTGTGATGCTTGTAGTTTTTTTATGACGTTGTAATAAATTTCCATTTTTCAGCCTTGTCTGCTTCAATGAAATAGTCCTTTCGTCTCCCATTCACTGTTTATCAGTCATAGTTTAAGTAGCATCCAACAGTAATTGTTGGATTTGTATTATTTATTTATTTATTTATTTATTTCTGATCTTTTATCAGGGTAGCCCGTTCACATATAATGTGGTCTTCCACGGGGCCCTGAACATATACATGTAATTATAAATTAATAAAACAAAAACGAACAATTTAAAGGATTAAAAGTGTGTAAAATTATCAAAACAGATAAGAAATAAGATCATATAAAATTATAACCGTTAAATTATAATCATTAAATAAAAGAGACATGAACAGGTTTACAAAATAAACAATATAAATGTGTATCTGAAAATGACAATAGACAAAAGTGCAGATTAAGAAGTTAAATTTAAGAATAAAATCACAAAATAAGTCCTACATGCAAATATAAACGAAAAAACGAAGTTCAAAAAAACTATTGTAAATAAAAAAAACAGTAAAAAAAAATAAAAAACAGTAAAAATGAGTACATTTACCTTTAACATGCTAAAAACAAAAACAAAACAAGCAAGCATCAAAGATTCTGCTCACCTTCCAGTATTAAAGTGTAACCTTTTTATTGGCTACATTTACAAGACAATTAATGAAATTACTCGTGAGAAGGAAAATGCCAATCAATTGAATCCATTCAGGAAATGTTTTTAAACAATATTTATTGATGCAGTTGATCCAGAGAAATAATTGTGGGAAGCAATAAATTTCATACTATTGGATAGGACTTGAATGCCTTTCTTATGTACAGTTGTATGTACACTGTATGTACTGTCAAAATGTTGTATTTACTTCAGAAACTCATGACTTGGATAAACCATGGAGCTCCATGGATAAACACAAAAGTGGCAGGACACAGTTTTTGCAGCAGCCATGAATGTACATCGTCAGTACATGTGTACCATTGTCCAATTTTCAGTACATGCATCTTGGTGTTCACAAGGAAGTCTTTGAAGCATAATTTCCATCAAAGCATGCATGATGCTACATGTACCTTCACAGTGTTAATAATGTGTGATGTGTTCACAGGGGCTTCTTCATACAATGTATGTTTCTAGATGGTTTTCTCCTACTGCTCACCTGATTGATGTCCTCCTGATAAAACATCAAGACGTGGGCAGGCATGAAAAAAAAGTATTTGACATAAGGTTCCTGACTCCTGTTGTCAGTGTTCTGTGTTTACAACAAATGTGTACAAAAAGTAAACATGTCCATGCACACTTAAATTCACTAATATTTGTATGGAGCAATAAATCATGTTAAAAACATGGACAATTCCATGGTACATGTAACTCGCATTACATTTATAAGAGGTCTTTCGTCAACTTTGTACTTTTCTATAAAGTCAAAGTTATTTAGGGGGATTTTTCTGACAAGATATCCCTTGAAATTATGTGACGAGACTACCCCACAAAAAGGCAAAGCTAATTAAGTTGTGTTTGTTTCATGAATTTCATGTGCTAATTTTCATGAATTTGTTGATTGTAAGTTGACTGATGGAGAGTAGTTTGAGGCACCGTGTAAACAAGTGCAAGTGCACAATGAGCTCTGGCCGTCTTGCATGAAAGTCTTGCATGAAGAAAAAGAACTTGTCTGCTATAGAATTAGTATCTAACTAAAAACTAACATTTCTAGGGGAACAACAAAAGCTGTTCGGGGAAAAAAAGAGGACGTCTTGATGGGAATCGATCCACGAACCTTTCTACTAGGAGCCCTATGCTTTTCCACTTCGCCATTGGGTGTTGCTTGGTTGGCCTGGAGAATTTGTGTACCATAGATTATGCATATACAGAGGGTATACCAGTACATACGTTTGTGGGTAAAAGGATCGTTTTAAGTCACATAAATATTTATTACCGCAGACTGTTGTGTAAGAAAATAAACATAAGCTGTGGCCGTCTTGCATGAAATGAATGTGCGTATGTACAAGCCTGGGCTGCGGCCACGGAACACCATACTTTTGGTCTACTTTCATTTCCTCCTTCTGGATACCGTCCAACCACTACACAAAATACCACGTGACTATAACATTACTACACATATGTTGCCTCCGTTTACAAAATGTTCATAAACAACTTTACCAATTGTCTCAACAATTTTGAGAGTGCATTTACTGATGACAGCATGGCACTTGCTCAATTTTGGTACAATATTTTTGGTGGATTTTCTGGGGACAGACCTACTGACCGACCGACCACGAAGTGACATGTACCCCTGGTATAAGCTCCTCCCAGAGCTTAAAAAGTTGTGCCGGTAGGTTATTAATTCAGTTTGACAAAGTTTGACAAAGTGTATTGGCCCATGGCTCCATGATTGGCCCTGTACCCTTGTGTACAAGGCATAGAACATGTCTTATGTCTCCATGTTTCAATTGAAGGAAATTTATGTATGTGGTTGATTTATTGGGAAATTGAAAATTCTGTTTGTGACTGAGTTTACTCTTGTCCATATGCATACTAACTGGATTGTTCTATTCAATATTTGTATTGCAGATTACTGTGAATGTTAGGAGTCAACATACAACTGACCTAAACAGGAGGAACTAAACCTCATTGCCAGCCAACCAACTCAAAGCCAGTGTCTGAGTCTGAGGAATACCTGACTCCAATTCAAGTGTCACCATACTACACGTACCGGTACCTTCTAGTCTGAGCACCATTGACTGTCATTAGTTTGGAGCTGTCACATTTACCCCATTGTACCTGGCCTCATAAGCTAAGTGTGCAGATTACTGGATGCGTACAATAGCCCAGGCAGAAGGCCACTCTAGGACGACACACTGTCTCTATTTGATGTGTACACATCTATAGGACAACAAACACTATCAACTCGTGCTAGGCGTGTACAGTGCAGGCAAAATGGCAGATTGAATAATATGGCCTTTGGAACTCATGGAGACAAATCTAGACTAGACTAAGATTTGATGCTGGAATAGTTGGCTAGACACTTGGACTATTGCTGGGTACTTTGCCTTCGGAATCACTATTGCTACATGTAACTGGTAAGTATACTGTCTGTCTGTAGTCCTCAAAGTACAGAATCATACTTGCCACTGCATGCAAAGTCAACTGCACAAGTTTGTGTAAGTGGATTCATAACTGATTCTGTCATCATTTTGTCTCATTGGAATTATTACAGCTGAAAGACCAGTGGCAAAAGTGGACTACAATGTACAATGTACGTAGTGAAAAAAATATACTTCTACAAACCTTGACAAGATAGCAGTTAATGTACATGTACATGTATTCCCCTGAAAGAATTTGTATCCCTTCTTGTGGATTGCATATCCTGTTTTTTTCTTCTTCTTTCAAACCATGTATACAACATACATACATGTACACTTGTATTTAATACATGTTTGTTACATACCTCCTGTGAAAAATGAAGTACATTGATATACTGGTGTTTCCTAACGTGGCGCACTTTCCCCCGACTTTCCTCATGCAGTGTTGCCAAACTTCTTTGTTGACAAACTTCAAATTCATTTGGTTAAATACTGGTACTATTACCTTAATAATGCTTGCTGTTGAACCTTTGTGAACCATTTCAGTGTCATGAAATTAAGTCCGAAATTCAAAATGGTGGCGTCCGGAAATTGGGCACAAAAGCAGCTGAGTGTTCCCTACGGTCGCACACTTGAAAAAATCTTGGAAAATCCCAAGTTAAAATTTAAGATTTTTTTAAAGGTAAAAAATGCTGATAAGCCATTATTATCTCTAACCACATAACCAACTAGAAATTTGTCAGAAATTTATTTTCTTACTTTTGGGTGCATTTTTAAAGGGTTCACCGTGCACTTCAAAATGAAATCGGAAATTTGCACCAAAATAAATGTCTCTGTTAACTTTGTAATAGCTAAGTAAACTCAAGATAATGAATGGGAATGTTAAGAGCCTGTTGAAATTTCACTTACTGGAAATTCAAGGTAATATTTTTGCTCAAACAATGCGCTACAGGCGAAAAATCAAAGTGCGCCACATTAGGGGCCGCGACACGTTAGGGTACATAAACAATATACATGTACATACATACATGTTCATTTTTCGTCGGTCGCTGAACTTGATGAACGAATGGTAGTAAAAAAGGTGCAGATCACCCCACAAAAAAAAAAAATAATAATAAAATCAAGCAAAGGTAAAGAGAAAAGGAAATGGAATGAACAAAATTGATTAGAAGAAAAATGCCTTATGACCAAGGAGCTGAGGTTTCCTTCATGGGCCAGTGGTGAAGGATAGAAATACAGATGATCCCTCAGCAGACATGATGTCTGGTGGGTTCCTGACACCATTATACCCATCAATCATTGGTAAATACAAGATATTAAAAACAACTTTCTGGATTGATGGCTGCCATTTCAGGAAAAAAGGTGATATAAAAGAGTTGATGGGTAAGAATAATTATTGGCTGATTATCTTTTCATGACCTTGTACATCAGTCTTGTGGAACACTCACTGTAGCATACTTTGGATGGTTGTTTTGGGATATTAATTGTGCCTTTGTCTGTGCTGTAACCTTGTTCCAATGATGCATGAATCGTTCATGGTTTATAGATTACCCTTCATTTGCTACTTTTTAAAGTTTTGCTGTAAACATTTTCATACAAAAATAGTGAAAAAGCCTACAACTTGATTGAAACATGGATGTGATTCACAGAACCTCAATGTTGAATTGTTTACTTCATTGCTGCCTGCTCCAGTGCTCGTCTGTAGTGATAACTTGAACCCGATCCACGTTGAAGTGTATTGTACATGTATCCAAGGGGCATTATGCTTGGCCTAATTCTATCAACTCTTGACATACCAATGTTTAGGCTGGTTTTTTTATGTATAGGATTTCCCTGCCATTCCTGGTGGTGTGGGGTGTACATTTCTTAAAAAACAATATTAGAACCCGTGTGTTTTTCTAGGGTTGGCTTGCTGTGTTGCTGTACATTTATGTGAACATGTAGCCACTTATGTACATTTTGTACCTCAAGCAAAAAATCAATCCTGTCTTCATTTTGTTCTGAAAAGAAAATGAAAGAGTTTTTGGATAAGGTTGTCCTTGATCAACATGTAGGGTGAGATGGTACAATGTATGTTTGTAGGTCATACCCTCTCAGATTCAGGGCTATCCCTTTACATCATTCTCAGCCTGCTTATTTTGATTTGTCAAGGAGGCTGAAACCAGATCAAAGCATGATGCACCATAAAAAGCCGACTCGGAAGGTATAAATCAGCTGTGTTTTATTTACACATGTAAGGTTCAACTCTACATGCATGCATGTTTTCCTGGGGAGGGGGGCTCATGTTGATTTCAATATGGGTAAGTTAGAAAATTGTCTGAATTACATGTACCGGTACACCATGTATTTTTGCCAATGCAAGAAGCAACAATACTATAAATCTGAAGCACGTTGTTAAAAAAATAACCTGTCAAAATATACTTTTTGAGAAAACTCTGAATATGTGTAGGTACCGGTAAGCATCTTCATTTTTCTTCAAAGCAAGGTTTCCGATGAAAGCCCATCTTTAATATACTTGACTTGATTCCAGTTTGATACTCAGGAAAATAATTCTCATTCATGGATTTGAACATGTAACCGATTGCCAACTATTTAAACTAAATTTGGTTAGTTGGGAGTACATGTATATGTAGTATTTGAAACAAAAACTTTCTCACGATGGTTTGGTCCTAACATTTGGAAGCTAATGATTGTACGGGTACATGTACCGTAATTCCTCTTTTAAAAAAAAAAAATGACAGCATACCAGGCACAATGATTTCACAGGATGTTGAAAATCTTTCAACAAATTATGTTAATATTGTGGATGTTTTGCATTCCTTGAACACCCGGTCCTACTGTCCAATGAATGCAGGATACATGTCAATGTCCTTTTCAGTAAACATGCAGAAATTCTTTGGACACATCATGCAAGAACAATCTGAACATGAAGTTGATGTTTTTGACAGTGGCTGGTTTATTGGTGTACCTGTCTCTTAGACCTCCATTAGACACGTTTAAGGGCTCTTCTCTACTACATGTAGTCTGTTCACCGTGATGTATACATTATCAGCACACACAGGACTTGGAAGTTTACCAAACAATAATATAGTACAAATTTCTAGACTGGCCCTGTTTAGCCCAGGAATATGAACTTTGTAGTCAGTGACATCAATTTTAAAGAGTTGGTTCAACTTCTCTTCTGGAATTGCATTTATTTCAATGGCCTGACAGTTCAGCAGATATTATCAGCTTGACAAACTCCATCAAACTCTTTGCCCTCCAGGTATCAGATGGAGGAAAGATTTCAGATTATAGGTAATGTACATAATGTACATGTACCGGTACAGTACCACTGTAGGAAAGCTTTATTGCCACCACTTTTTTTGAGAGCAGTTATTTTCGTTTCGAGAGCAGTTATTTTCGTTTCGAGAGCAGTCTTTTTTCCAAGAGCAGTTGGTTTGTTTTTGTTTTTGATGGGGGAGGGGGGGGGGGGATCTGGGACCAGGCAAGCAATACAAAAAAATCCGCCACCCCTCAACTTTTCTCACGACACCATTGCAATTTTTTTTATCGCAACCGGAGCTGTCCTGACTTTTTAGACTTGAGTCTTGCACATCTTTTGATACAAAATATATAAAACTGGACAACAGTTTGCCGCGCAGCGAAAAAGTAAAACTGAATTTTCCCATATACAGTTGTGTACACAAAGCAGAATTAGCATTGGTGCATATGAATAATTAATTAGCCATAATTCCAAAACTCTTTGACCTACCGTTATAGTCATGAAAGTTCTAGGGTATGTTCATATTAAGTTGTTCTATGCATGAAACGAGTTTCATATAAGTTTTCGTCACTCGATGGCGGGCCTCTGTGAGATGGTCAAAATAACCCGGCCCTAATAGGGGTTTCATTTTGTTTCTGATCGGGCCCTGTCCATGTACTTGATTCTCTTCAAAACAAGGCCGTCATCAGCCCTGTTTCCAATTAGGCTGAAAATCTCCTCATCTTACTTGCACGTGTGCTCAATTACGTGGTCGGTCCTTTGAACATGTAAAGAACAGAAGCCAGAGTGAGCTATTTGCTCACAGTGAGTAGCCTCTCATATCCAGCCAGCTTTAATAAACTTCACAGCAGCCGGTTCACATTCTACTGCAGACTGTATCAATCATAGTGCAATGTGTATAGTCTGATGTGTTTTTCATTCCATAATGGTAAAGACTTATTTGACAATATTTTCAAAGATGAAAAACTAAGAAACATTTTCAGTAGCCTCTTTACATAAAAAAATGTTTTAGTAGAGCATAGTTTGAAGATAAAGCCATTTGAAGTAGAGAAATACATGTACACCGGTGCATATGTACATGTATTGTAGTACTGCAGGATGGCATCACATTATTGTACGTGTTCAGGTTGATGTTCGGGTTGTCTTGATTCTGATAATACTGGGCACCAGCTGCCTTCAAAGTGTTATACCGATATGTTCCTAATTTCATTCATTTCATTGCAGTATTATTTTAAACACATACCGGTACATGTAAATGCAACTATACAATATCAAATTAAGGATAGTTATCAGTCTCAGTGCACAATATACTGTGTAAGTTTACCACATAGTGCCGTCACTTGCTGAAGGACAATACTAAACTAAAGATGAAAGTTGTGAACACAAGTGATTAAGTTAATTTCAAATATTTTTTTACTAAAACTGAAGGAACGTATGATTTTGAACTTTTGCCAATTATAATCCAGTACCAAAAACAAGTATGGGCTCCATGGCTCCATGCATGTAACATTTTAATAAGCTAAACACCCCTATCATCACAATAGATCAATCCACTTTGCTGTATGTCAGCCATGCACACAATCTCCTGTCAATATCATTTTTCATATTGCGATCCGTATGTCAGGCATTTTACTATCCCACTGGCCAGACTCCTTCAGATATTTTGCCGACCATCATAACAACAAATATTCACAAGGACACTACGTGTGGCTGAGCAAGCAGGGAGAGCACT